AAAAAAGGGAATGTAGGCATACCCAGTGCCCAGGTATAGGCTTTTTTTAAGCCAGCTGAGCATAATTCTGCCTTTTGAAGAGTTGATTAATAATTCGTGGTGGGATCCTTGCAATTCTTTGGCCGCTGTTGGTTCATGAACAGCAGAAGGGCAACAGGTTTATTTTTTTCCTTTTTACCACATAATGCAGTGTGCAACAGCTGCCTTTTCTAATTTGCAGTGATGACATCAGCTCACTGAATTTCTCAGTCCTGTCACAGGTTCTCCTTGTCTCCTGCTCCCATGGTAAGTACAGTTCTCCTAAAACCATGTTTGCAGTTATGCTCAAAATGAAAGCATTTTTCCTTGGTTAAAAAGAAGCTTGCTTAGTCTATCACAGTTTCATAACCATCTGAAACTGGCTGAAGCCAACAACACAATCAAAAAGATAAGTTTCACCCTTTCTCCTACCTCAGTCCTGCACAAGATCAGCACAAGGATTTGGACAGCCATACAGCGAGCCAGATCAGGAAACTGATCCAAATTAAAAATGAACTTGGCCCCTACAACATTTGCTTTCCCCAGCCATCTGAGTTCCCCAGGTCTGTTCAGCTCGCAGCTGCACCAAAAACTGTGCCAGCACAAAGGGGGTGGGTGACATGGGGTTAGGGATGAGCAGCACTCGTGGGGGAGGGAGGGTGGGACTGTTTTACTACTGACTTATCCAGCCAAGAATGATATTGGACTAAGGCAATGTGACTTAAACTTGCACCAGTTTAGAAAAATTCAAAAGGAGTTTCTAATTTACTCAATATAAGCTCCATTTATATGGGGAATAAAAATAAGACACAGAGCCCTTTTTTTAAAATGTTTTTATCCACTGTATAAAATGGGCTGAGTATTTTGTCACAAAATAGCAACAAAACTAGGTAGTAAAGGAAAGCATTTAGATGGTGTAATTTTATTAGTCTTCCAGTGATGTAATACAGTTGTCTCCTCTTTGGGTATAAAGAAGGAGATAGAACCCTGTATCCAGACAGTTACCCTGGTTTGCCCAGCTGTCACCCATTGCCACGATCCAGTCCTCCTCCAAGGCTCATGGATAGGAGTGCAGCTGTGTGGCCATGGCAGTTCCAAGTGCCACGCAGCATGCTGTGGCACACAGCCACTCACACAGTCCAGACATTAGTGCACTGCTTGCACAGCCAGTGCAACCAAGTGACCAAGTAGTAACACCTCAGGATTGCCAAACCACCTTTGATTTCTTTTCTCATAGAGTTATTAGCTTTAATTTTGTCTCTGCCACCTGTCTGAATAAATTTTAATATATCATTCTCTGGTGGTTTTCGCAACAAGATGTAACTGGGACAAGGACTGTAAGAACTTGAAAACAGTAATTAAAATGGGAGATAAGATTAATCTTACTGGTGTCTTCCAAGAAACCAGTAGCAGAGCTAGGTTATTCCAGTTATGTAAATATTTTTAAGCTGAATGGCTGAAGAGAAATTTAATTTTAAAAGAACCAATAATGTTTGATTACACCAAGTCCATTATCTCTTGCTCAGGTGATAGCCAGGAGAAAGTGAAACTACCTTTCAAAGCTTCTACATAGATGCAGGCAAGATCCAAAGCAGAATGAATGAAATCCAAATTTAATTCTCCAGAAAGTACAATACTGGTGCAGTACAGTGGGCTGGAATACTGTGCTTCATGGCAGCACATAATTAGCTGTCAGAACAGAGGGCAACCTCCCTTCTTTACCAGAAGTGTAACATTGCAGGAGCAAAGTCCTTACAGCAGAGACTACTAAGAAAACAACCAGTAAAGAAGATAAGGGAGTGCCCTGCTTAATACTTTATTTCAGCCCAAACCTTTTGGATTCATAACTTTTAATCAGTTTGTTGGCAGCTTTGGCTGGGTGCATTAATCTTAAAAAAGTAATGAATTTTGGTCTGATTCTCATCATCTCAAGGGTGGAAATGATGAACGACTACCCAGTCTGATCAAAGACCATTAAATCTATCTGCGGATAGATTTAACATAACAGAGGGAAATACACATAATATCCTTGTAAAATTATCTGTTCCACATTTATTTAATATGAATCCCACTTAATCGTGGTGGGCCTATTTAGGAAGAACTTCTAAGAGTGAAATGGGTTCTTTGTTCTCTTGCATATGACAGTTAGTCAGAAAACTAAGGCAGGGCCCAAGTAGATATTTGACCCTAGAGAGACAAACGCATGAAGGGTTCGCTAGAAAATGGCCAAACACACCACAGCAGGAATACAGAGAGCCCTCATGTCACAATTTCTGTCATCAAGGCCTTTCACAACTTAGTTTCTTTTTTGTGTGTGTATCCTACGCAGTGCCAGCTCAAAGCTTCTCTTCTTTCCATGAGGGAAAAATGAATCTTGGCACTCAAGGACACAGACAGATCAATTTCTCCCATAAAACATCTTACTTTGGTTTCTGCTGAGGGATGCAGAAGTCACTTTTGTGAGGATGGCACCAGATCAGTTCCCCCAGGCACCAGCCTCCTTACATCGCTCAAGGCACTACCGTCCTGATGGTTCTGCATCCCCACCAAAGTGCTGCTGATGGGCCTCTGTGCTGAGCCCCACTCAGCCAGCCCTGGGCAGGTGCTTGGGGCTGCTGAGGCTGCTGTACTTCTGCTGCTGGGGTACCAGGGAGTGGGAAGGGACAGGAGGGCCACCTGCCCCTCTTTAGTGGGAACAGCATTTTGCTGACTAGCTCTGCTGCTGCTGTCACTTTGCTGCCCCATTCCATCTGCCTCTAGAGGCCACAGTTGGGAGCCCCTGGTGGTCTAGAGGGTAAAGACGCTGCGCTGTCACCGCCGAGGCCCGGGTTCGATTCCCGGTCGGGGCCACTCCCCGGGCAGATGGAGCTCATTAGCCCTGTAAGGCAATCCATCTACAACCTGAGGACCTCGCTGCCACCGTCCAAGCTCGCTTGGCCCCAGCAGATGAACCTTAGGATTAAAGGGTGGGCTCAGTTCCGCGCACACTGTGTCTCACCTAAAAAATCCAATGCGCAGGCTGGAAGGTGTAAAGACCTTCCCCAGTTCTTTATTCGTGAAGACTGGCCATTACCTTACCTTACCTAGAGGCCACAGTTCAGTCATCCCGTGCCACTGTACCACTTCAGCTGTGGTGCAGGACTGAGGTATTTGAACCAGCTCAAAGCCAAGTGCCTTTCTCGACAGCAGAAGTCAGCTGTGAACTCTGCTACTGTGGCTAGAGAGGTCTTTATATCCACATGAGTTTGGAAAACCATATGCAGCGCTGCACAGTTATGATGACCTCCTAAAAATGCTCCTTACCTTCATATCCCACATGCTGTCTTCTGCCTGAGGCATCTTTCCCAAACAGATTTGTGTACTTGCTAAATAGTCTGCATATCCTATTTTAATAATGCTGAGGTGGGAGGCTTGTTTGGTACCTCACCTATTCAAAGATGAAGCAGACAAGCCAGGAAGGATAGAAGTTGATAAATTTTACCAGCCAGCCCAGGAAAGAAGTAAATAATGAAATCCAGTATCCTTAGAAAGCTCTTCTTGACAGAACTGCCTCTTCTGTCTGAAAATATTGTTGGTATTTTTTCACACTAGGGCAACACTGTAACAGCTAAAAAGAAAATTAGTCCAGTGATTTTAATATAAATAAGAAGTTGTGTATGTGATACAATTTAACTATCCATGAAGCTGTAATTTCTAGCAGAAACCCGGTGTACATAAAGGTGAAGCAGAGTTACTGACCTTGGAGCTAAACTGTCTCCAGAAGGCACTCTCCATCCCTGGAACCTCCTGAATAAGCCAGATGAAAACTCGCTGAGGTTAACAAGAAACACCAAATCATAATCTACATACAAACTTGGATTTCAGAGGAAGATTGACAGTTAATAGTAGTAGCAGCAGTATTAGTATTTCAAAAATACTTGTTACATAATATAATAATAGTATAAAATACACAGAGTAATGAATGTCTTGTAGCACTCTACCTTCTGATAATCTGTTTCTGAGACACAGATTTTAAAGGTGATTGGGCAGGTGCTTGGTGAGATGTGTCTATGAGATTAAAGTTTCCTTTGAGAATCGTTAGATGTTTATCTGCGTAAGTGCCCTAACTCCATAAAAATTCAGGTTCACAGGCCTTATGACTGATCATCAGATTGTACAGATAATCTCATGAAAAGTCAGGCTGTTTATAGAAGAAATGGTTCTTCTCTTTCTTCATTGCCGCAGCCTGTTTTCCTTGCACCAGTCTGAATGTAGTTGAAGAGTAAAAGGAGAAAAAAATCCCCAACAACTTCTCTTTTGCCTCTTGAGATAGCATAGTTATGCAGTCCAAGGCAGAGGAGGAACACTGTTGTAGGAGTAGGATCATGGTCGATACCCAGGTGCACATGCCTCTCTGCTCTCCTTTTTTTTCAGTTTTCTTATGTTACTCAGAAAAGCTAGGAAGATGCAAATGATACTGTGTACATTAAAAGTAGCCAGTGGAGTTAGAAGTGGTGAATGTACAAGCCACTGACACTACTCACTCCACAGACTGATGAATTTGGACAGTTAGCTGTGAGTTGCACATCCTAAAGCAGGTGGCGGAAGTTTTGACTCAGCTGTGTACCAAACCAGCCAGGCCAGGGAAGCCCCAAGGCAGATCTGACCATGGCACACTGTTTCTGCATGTCCTCTGGTCTTCTCACGCCACTGCTCTGTCTGAAGCCAGTTCTGGCCAGCTCTCTCCAGAACAACTGCTCTGGTTATTAAACATCAGCGAAAGGCTATACTAGGCTGTCTTATAGCCCTTTTTAGGTAAAGGAGCATATTAATGTGATCCTCCCCAAGCCTCAGTGTAACTAGAAAATAATTTAATTCTCTCATGCCAAAGCGAACCAACCAGTCGACCCTAACAACAACAAAAGCAGTAAAAACATGGTTCTAACAAGACACCTGACAAACTGCAGTGCTTCCCTAATTATCTTCTTGTCATATCTGCTTAGTGTGAATCATGAATTGCGTGGATACTCGAGCAACCAGGATCCAGTGAATGGAGCTTGTGCCCACCAAGTCAGAGCAAAGCAGAGCAGACCTCAGGCACATGTAAGGCCTTTTCCATGTATTTCTCTGTGTGAGACTGGATCACTGAGACTGCCAAGCTCTTGGGGCAGATACTACTGCTGCATCCACCACTCTTCATCCATGACACTCAGCCCTGGATTAAGCACTGCCACAGTTCAAAAACCAGTATCAGTCTTATGTTTCTTCTGTACCTTGCTTGCAAGTATCTTCATTACATTGCCAAAATTTAAAGACCTTTTCATTTGTCTTGAGATAAACTTTTACCAGTTATGTCTGCAGCCCAGTGCTGCACTGAATCTGTGTGTGATTGTACATAAAAAGAAAAATTTACTTGCTAATTGTAACTGTATACAGTGCAAGCACAAAATACAAGTTAAAGCTGATTACCAAAGTTTACTCATCTTGAATCATTAAGATTCAAAACTTAAGCAGTAATGTACTAATTTTATTCCAGGCTTTACCATCAATATTATAGCATCATTCTGTATGTGAGTTCCTCACTACCCTCGTATCGTAGCATAATACCTAAGAACATAGTGAAATTCACTTGCTTGCAATTTATATAGTATTTATGTGACAAAGAAATGGATGAATTTTACATGATGAAGTTAGAAAGAAGTATTTATATCCTCACAGGCTTTGTATTTTTTACTGCTGCTATCATGCTCCTTCTATTACCTTGGGCAAGTCATTCCAGTTCTGTGCTTCAGACTCACAATGCACCTGAGTGGGCAAGTCCAGGACCAATGTTCATCTGGTAAAACTTTCAGGGCCTTAAGTCCTCTGGGCCTCAGTGTTGCTAGTGTTTAAAATGGTGTTAAAACCATACCTAGAACTGAATATACATGTGAAAATTTACTGGCTTAAGCATAGAGATGTAATTATGCCAGTATAGGCGTATCATAATATTTTGCCATGTAGAGAAACATCTTGCACTTGTTGCTTCATACCTCCTTCCAGGAATGATGACTGGGTAAAAGCCAGTCTTTGTTAAAGAATCAGTTTCAGTTCAATCTTGCTTGCACAACACTTATCTGACTACTGTAAAGATTCCTGTAAACACAGCAGGCAGGAGAGACTCACCAATCCGCATGTGCACTGCAAGCTTTCAGCCAGGTCGGGAGCAGACACTTACAGATTCAGACAAGAGTTCAGGTTCATTTCAGAGGGACAGCGGCGTGAGGCTTCGTTATCATGGATCTGGTTGCACAAGAAGCCTCACCCACTGCAACACGTTTACTCGCATGAATGAGGAGTAAGCGCAGCATTAGTACCTGCGGGCAGGAGGATGTCCACGTGTACAATACATGGGGACAGAGAGTGCTCCGTCACTGGGGGACGTACTACAGCAATTACTTCAGTATT